TTCTGAGGGACACAGATATCTAAGCCAACAACATTTGGCTGCCTAACATAAAAATTAGCAGAATTGTTATTACTAAAAACAAACCATTAGATCTTTCCAAGATAAATAAAAACTTAGATTTCTGACTATCAGTCCACAAACAAAGCTTCTAATTTAGTTTGTTTGAGCACCACATCATGGATAAAATAGATACAACTTCAATTTCTGTATCTCTAAAGCTAATTTCACTACCTCAAGCAAGTTGGCTAGAAAGTGAAGCTTCACCTCTTTTTCTTTCTGAGATGAGTTACTACAAGTAAACACAAATCTTTCTACTGCTGTTGAAATATCATCAAGGTAGCATGCCCGGCAGCAAGCGATACTTTGACAAGCATGTCCCATACTCATGGCTACACATTCAAGATTATTTTACAAATGAAGTGTGGGGTTTGTTGCAAAAGCAGCAAAGACAACAACATGGAAGATGAATGCAGTGCAAGGTCCCCATCTCCCACCACCACACACACACGATGTCTAAAAGAACCCCAGCAGCTAGGAATTATTCAGCTGTGATGAAGCAGGTTTCACCTGGAGAGCTCACACTACCCTACTTGAAGCAGATGGGCAGTCTGAGGTTCAGTGGCTTCCCACCAGCCACACAGCAGCCATTCGTGCAGGAGATGCAAAGAAAACCCTGATTTCCTAAACCTCCAGCTAGGATCACCCAGGCTGTGTCCATACCACTGGGAGGTCTGGAGCCGTTCTGAAGCTGCTGACTGTCCCCTGAACCCCCCATGGCTGTCCCTTCCAGTGCAAGCTGGCTTCGTTCACAGGGTGGCTCTGCTGGGCCCAAACTAGATTCCTTTCAGAGAAAACTAAAAAGGTCCAGGAACACACCAAATGTCCCCCCATCTTTTAAGAGATGGAAGGATCTGAAACAAGTGCTCACTTGGACAGATTCAACCTACATATGTAGTGGGGACATTTGGTCCAAAGGACCAGACTAAATCTTGTCTGGAATAAAATGCTCAGTTTGAATATAAAGTAGATACAGGAGCCTCTGCACCTTGCTGCTTTGATCTACTCATCATCTCCCACTGTGTCAAACGGCACGACAAAGCCTCCGTCTCTCTTGCATGAAGAGCTGCCAGGCCAGCCAGTGCCTCTTGCTATGTGTCCCGGACAGACGCCTACTGTATTTTTCCTGGGCAGCCATGTATTGCACTAAGAAATCATTTTATGCACTAAATTTGATGAAGAACATACAGCCTTCAAATTCCAGATGACAAATTCGTAAGGCAGATCAGACTTCTGGTTTAACAGTGTTGACAATGCGGGGAGGATTTTATCCCCTGGTCTAGCTCATATGTGCTCTTCTTTTGACAGTACCTGCACATCTGTTAAACTCCATCATAGCAAGTAGGATGGGACCAACTCCCTCCTACAAACCTGCAGCATCTATGCTGCTCCAAAAGGCCAAGTGACACCTGAAAGAGAACTGCCATCATTTGATGTGACCCATTAATTGGACCACCCGCTCTCTCCACTGCAGCTCAGAAAGAGGAGACTGAGCTGCTTTGAGACACTAGGATTTGACAAAACAATGCCATCTAAACCAGGTAGGCCAGTTTGAAGCAAGCCCCTGCCGCCTCCTCTCATCAGAGGTTTACCTCTGGCAGTTGCCCAGCACTTCAAGGAAATTAGTGTCACCTCACCACTTGGTGTGTGCACCCTGCAGTCACTTGTCAGGCTTTGCAACCTCACTGAAGAGAAACATAAGAGTAAGACAGGCCAAATTAAAACCCTAAGCCCATTAATCATACCCTCATGACTTCAGATAATGCGACGTGCAACATGCACCATATGCTTATGTAGGTCTTGCCTTTGGCTATAATCTAGATTATGGAATAAACTAGGTGCAGGGCTGCGGTGAAAAAAAGAAACGACTCAAGTGAGGAGGGACAGGCAAGGGTCACGTGAATTCACTCCCCCAACGAAAGGCAGTTATGCAAAGAGTTCATACCTGAACTCAAATGGCTCAATTAACATTCCTGAAATGAAACTCATCAATTCTCCATGTAAAATGAGGCCAAAACTGATGGCACGTACCACGCTTTGACACGCTCAACACTTGGAGTTCAAATGGATCATTGCAGCTTTGAAAAGTTCTCTGTGAATAACTGCCAAAGGAGCAAAATTATGTGAAACACCACTTTATCATTCCTACGGTGGAAGCAATGTGCAATCACAGAAATGGCAGCAGAAGAATGCAGCTGAAGTAGTTCCTCTGACCTGCTGCAAGGCACTGAGAAAGCTCTTCAGCTTCTCTGGCAAATTGCAAGGGAGCTCAGCAGCACAGTCATTTCATGCCTGTATTTGCAGACAATGTTGCATGGTATTTTAAGATCTACAATAATAAAAATCCTTTAAATACAAAAAATCAAATTAAAATTGGCTATACTCAAATTACATTATTTCCATACTATGTTAAATATGAATTCTGTTCGGTGTAACTGTAGAACATTCCTCATGGAAAAAAAATAATTTTGAGGGGGAAATGAGCCATGTGGAGATTTACAAAGATTTAAAATTAAATGCATCAGAAAATCAGTAATCCTATTAGATCAATTGTTTAAAGTTAATGTTTTTCTAAAAAACATGATGTATTTCCAACAAACTCCAAACTGATATAGGAAGTTTTGGATAAATTGATACGGAACACAGTTACATGGTTCTTTCTAATCCTAAAGTCTATCTGTGCTAACTGCTAAACTAGAAAACACCTAGCCTTGTTACCATCTCCCTTGCACCAGCAAAGAGCTTCTTGGGGAATTTTATGAATGCAAGTTGCTGAAGGAGCCTGTTCCTTCTTGTGGCAGTGGTCGTGAAAGACACATCCTCCAACAAAACACCGATGGGCCCTCTTGGTGTCAGGGCAATGCTGCAGGCTGCCCACCATGCCAGGGCTGGGACAGAGAGGTGTCAGAGGGATCTATTTCTAACTTGGCTTCAATCGCTGCTGTGACTTTCAATCCTATTACTCAGTGGGAGAAACATCAAAAGATAGATAGGCACTCGAAAAAATTGCAAAATTTGTTCCACTTACATGTGGAAACAAATCTGCCACAGACTCAGATCGCTCTGGAGTCCCTGACAATGGACACAAATGGAGGGTGAGGCAGAGGAGAGGAAGAGCCGACCCCAAATATGCACGTTTTCTGGATGCGTGCCTCTCCCCAGCTCCCTCACCCAATTCACAGACATCTATGCCCAAGACTTTGCAGAGTGGGGTTTACACTGGGCATCGGACAAGTCCCAGTGGGAAGTTGTCCCTGCAGTCCTTTAACACTTAACATGTTCTCTCAACAGCTTTAGTCTCCACTTAGAAATCATCTGAGTTTTTATTCTATCTCCCAGAATCCTTTTTAGACTGCAGATAGCAAAAGATTGTTTCTAGGTGATAAAACTGTGTTAATTCCTGCAATTCCACCTGGCAGAAACAGCAGGACACTTCAAACAATGTGGTTTGCATGGAAGTCATTTACCTTACAGGGGGCTTTAATGCACACAATAAAAAATGTCTTTATCTTCATCAAAGTCCTGCTATCAGCTCAAAATCCCATTAGCTTAATAAAATAGAAGAAAAAAAAAAAAGCGACAGTGGAGTTGGAGGAGCAGGGGTTGTACAGGAACTGCCCAGAACCTCTTCTGTATTTATAGTCCCATTCAGCCCACCTCAAAGGGCTTGTTTATACCCAAGTAGAAAGCCCAGACTGATGCTACGATTGGGAAAGAGTCCTTCTGACCTAAAGAGACCACATTTAGATACCTGCGTTAGCTAAGTGGTACCTAAGTGCCGTAATGGGAAAGATGGGGAGTGGAGCGAGTTTCCTCGAGAGCACAATCCAACCAGCAGAGATGTGAGCTGTGATGTGGAGGACCCTCTTCTCCCTCACCCAGAGAGAGCACCTTGGGCACACACAGTCCTTGTTGGGTGCCCACAGTCAGGGGATGCAGTAGCACCCAGAGGAGCTGACAGGGGGGAGCAGCTCCAGGCAACACTGCTTCCCCTGAAAGAGGCCCTGGGTGTAGAGAACATAGTAAGGAAAACTGCAGAGATGACTGTTGTGCCTGAGCTCTTTCAGTTAGGGTAATCTTAGATGAGTGACACTAGTAGGTAATAAACAAATGCATAAATATCCAACTCTAAGCCTTCTGAGCTCCTTTGATCCCAGCAAGTCACACCATCCAACACTTGCAATACTGTGAATCTTGCCAGGAGTCTGGGGGGAGACACCAGAAACACACCACCAAGCATACTGTGCCGTACCTCAGTGAAAACTAATCTGTGCTAGCTGCTTGGCTGAAAAGCAAGCCAAAGAGCTGGGGAAAGGAGAGATCAGCCTCCAGAGCCGGGGCTCTGTCTGGGGACAAACACTGGCCGGCCAGCATTCCCATCCCACACACACCCCGGCTGCCACCACACAGCATGGGCGGGCATCCTGCCTGCCCAGTCAGCGCAGGCCAGCCACATTCTCTTGTGTTTACGGCAGAGAGGACTCAAAGGCTAAATATCCGTCTTGGACCAGGACTACAGGCACAAACCATGATTTTTATCAGCAATTCCTGTGCTGCAGGCTGATGCTTTCTCTAAACATGTCAACCTGTACCATTAGAAGAGTATGACGCATCTACCCCTCCCCAGCCAGTCTTGCTAATAAAACACAAAGGTGTCCTCTTAAGAGACCTTCTTCATGTAACTCCCCCTCAAGCCAACAGTAGCCAACCACTAAAAATAGTTAAAGGTAAAAGCTACTCCATGAAGGTCCTAAAGACGACAGCAGTGCTGCGTGCCTCGAAGGAATGATTTGTCCCTAACATCTCAAGCATTCAGAGAGAGATGGACAGAGAGACACTTGGCTTAATGCTCCCTCCCCTCTCCCCTCCCCTCCTTCTTGGAAAGGATATTGTGGTTGAACATTTTGCTCCCAAGTACCCGTAACTGTCTCTGCTTTAAATACCTCTTTCCTCCAGGAATCATTTCAATGTAGGCCAGTCTATTTATGCTGCTCTTCTGTAATCGGGGGATGAAAGAATATCGCTTGCAAGACACGCCTGCTTGGTTCACAACCCATCTCCAGGCAGTGCCAACAATAGGACTGCTTACGGCTAATCCATTTACTCGGCTTACCTGTTACACTCCCATCCCCTTAACAAGCGCTACGCAGCAGCTTCACCGAACTTGGAAACTGCTACGTGACCTGTAGTATCCTCTCCTGTGCCACATACTTGGAAAGCTGTGAATTTGGATTAAGACAGCAGCAAACCAAAATTGTCATGAAGCTTCCTAGTGGCCAGCCAGTAAGAGAAGATGTCTACGCCTTTCTCTGCATGGAGACAGCGCTGTAACCATCAGTGGATTCAAGCACCTCCCTCTCCATAGCTAACCTTCAAGGAACAGAAGCCAGACATGACACAAACAGCAGCTCCCTCTTCATTGTCTGGAAAAAATCACATTATACCACACTCTGTCTCCTCTGACTTTTTTTACACCCTCATACAGGAAGAAAAGGTTCCCAACATGCTGCTGACCTCCCTGGTAAAGGGCTTGCAGCCTCCTGCAAGCAGCTCTGCTACACCAGAGCTCACTATTTTTCTTCTCTTCAAGAGTTTCAGTGCTACTTGCCCATGCAAACTGCAATACAAGGTAACAGGCAAACAAAAAAAAAGCAGAAAATGAAGGCTGGGGCTTCAGTGGTTTTAGAAGAGCTGCAGCTCCTGCATCTACAAAAGGCTAAATTTTACTTCATCACATGCAGAGAAGAGTAGGGAAATGGATCAAGAATGCAGAAAAAGAAATGGAAGACCCATGTTATTTCCACTTAAATCAAAACAAAACATTTAGCATATCTGCACAGATAAAGAAAGGTAGAAACGTATCTTTCCCTACAGAGAGGTTTAGAGAGGGAAGTAGGGATTTTTGAACTCTGTCATAAGAAATATATTCAATTACAATGCCAAGCAAACAAAAATTCACAAATTCAATCTAAAAAAAAAAAAACAAACCAAACCAAATCAACTAATAGTGACTAAAAAAAATATTAGTAAAAGAAAATTTCTAATAGAAATTAATTTCCATGGAGCCTCCAGTTGCAAAGACAGATACTACCAGTAGAACAAGAGAAGAGACTCGAATACTATGAAGCGTCTTTGCAAACACTTTTCAGGAGGTACTTAAGTAGGTGAGAGAGGAAAAGGCAGAGGAGACCTTCTCCCCCAGATCCCACAGCATACAGCTGTGTGTCAGTCTACAAAGAAAGTGCAGAGGCAGGTACACAAGGTGGGTTCTGCTCCCACAAACTCCAGATCAACGTAGGAAAAGGTCTCCTACCACCAGCTTTAGCAACCCAAAAGTCAGGTGTCCGTACAAAGCTAGGGGTCACGACTGTCTCTGCTAACAATAAGCTGGTATGAGGAATCACCCTGTCTCTCCTCCCACTGACTACACAGGGCCACTGACTGTGGATTTAGACTTGGTGCCCACCCCATGATTGCTAAAGGTAGGGGAGATAGGAAAACTGACCTGACCTCAACATGTCTGTGCGACAACAGTATGCTTCAAGCCTTATAAATCTGAAGACCAAAGGGCAGCATGTGCCCTAATGAACATCTAACATAGAAATTCTCAAATTTCTCTGTTCAGTAATACATTGATCCCTAATGTCTCTGTTCAGTAACATACTTACCCTTTTAAGTCCTTCCTGAATATTATTAAAGCACTTAATTTATTCATATGAGTTGTTATAATACAAGATAAAGAAGTTACTGATAGTACCAAGTCTTGCAGTTCACAGTGAATAGTAAATACAACCATTGATTTCACTTCTCTTTGTGATAGAGGACCATCATGATCACTTTCCACACCCACGGTGGGACCAGCAGTCCCTCTAGCCCAGTAACCACAAGTGGTCCACAGCAAGTGTCTAGGGAAGAGGCTAAGAGGAGGGAGGGCACAGGGTGATGATCCATCCTGCTGCCAGCAGCTCAGGGACACTGGAGAGCAGAGGCAAGATTTTTGTGTCATAAAAAGACCATCCACCTCCATTAATCTCTGCCTACTGAATTCTACTAAATGTATTGAAATAATATGCATTCCTTTATGTCCCATATAAACAAAAATCTTTGAAGAAAAAAAGTCACAATTAGAAAATTGAAATAATTTGTAGATAAGAGCTAATTTTCCCATCAAGACTACAGAAATCTCTGGAGGAGCAGACACTAACGTAGAGTAGCAGCACTGCAGGCTATTGAGCAAAAGGAAAAGCACATGCGTACCTTTAGCTTCACAATCAAACCGAATTCAAAGATAGTGAATTCCTAGCTGTGACAAGCAATTTATTCATCGTCTGGCATATACAACACTTGACACTACAGAGGGCAGCTTGACTGACCTTCACGATACATAATTATTATTTGTTAGACCTACAATTTATGCTTGAACTATCAATCTCCAGATAACTATTCGTAGCCAGGGAAGGGATAGGGGAGAAAGTTAGAGAAAATTTTCAAAAATGTGACATATTTGTCTCTCATCATATCACCTGGCACGCCTTTCTAGCATATAAACCTCCCGACTCTTGGAGCAGCTGAAAATAGACATTTCCTCAGTCACTCAATGCACAAATAGTTGCCTCCACACCTACCAAACACAAATTAGACTTTGTAGTGCCTACAGATGGATGTGGAACTAGTACTTGATGGAAAAATAAATAGCCTTTCAGAAAATTCCATTATTTCAAAAAGCTTAGAGTGTCTGTAATAGAAAAAAAAAAACAACCAAAACACCAAACACAAAAAACAAACAACATAATGAGCAATACTTACATAAATAATATTAAGAAGAGTAAAGGACTACCACAGTAAAGCCCTAAAAGACACCTTTCAGGGAGAGCTGGAGAAGTACAACCCATTCAGATTATCTAAGAGAAGACCAAGAGGTAACCTGGTCATATGTTACCTTTACTAAGTGAAGATAACTGATAGCAGACATCAGCTGAAGTTAGCACATGAAAACAGAAAACAAAACAAAACAACCCCAGTGGCTTAACAAATTCAGAGTGGAAAAGCAGTACCAAACTTCTTATAAAAAAAAAAAGGTAAATAACAACTGGAAAAACTTTCAAGACCTTTATCATCTCAAGCCTTTGAATCAGGATTGGATGCCTTTAAAGTACCCTCAAGCTCAGTCAGAATTTATGTGCTTGATTCAGGAATTACTAGATGAAATACCATGTCCTTTATGTCACACAGATGTCAGACAATGAGCATAATGGGTCCCTCCAGCTTTCAAATCTATTAATTCTACTCTGTATGTGCTAGGAACACAATTACATTTTGTAGCTACCAAAACCTACACAAATGTTATCACACTGCTACAAAAGACAAACCAAAGAAGAAACGGTTTGTAAGTTACAACACATTGCAAAATGAGGTTTACCGTACCTTAAGACAAAAGTATGCTAATAAACTGGGGAAAAAAAAAAGATGTTTTATAAAACTCATCTAGACCTGAGGCAGTTTCTCCTCACGTTACCCCAGTGTTAACACACAAATTTTTTAATAACATTTCTTGGTGAACAATTAATATCAATAATTATAACAAACTGCATTCACCTATTTACTGCACATGACTGGGAAAAAAAAAAAACAAACAAAGGGATAAGAATTATCTTTTCAAATCCAACAACTGGACCTTAGTTGGTAAGAAGTGCTCTCTTTACTCCTGAATGGAGAAAAGAATTCTTAGAGAACAAGCTGAAATAGCAATTTCCACGATTAGCACTAGTAGACATTAGCAGTCAACATCTTTCTCATAAGGACGCATCCTGCCTCCTGCCTGGCCTGGGTGAGGAACTTGTAGTGCTAGGTGCTATACAAACACCAAATGATGTACCAAATGATGCTTGCTTTCTCAAACAGCTTGTTTAGAGCAAGCTGTTTCTTTTCCATTTCTCAAGGAAATGTAGGTAGGCAAGAGAAACATACTTTTCAGAAACTACAGAGGCACTCTGTAATCACTCCAAAATCTGTCCCTTCCCCTTTGTGTCATCACCTCCCATCCCTTCTTGCTAAGGTTGAACAGTACATGCTTACTTACACTTCTGAGTTGATTAATTAAGGCTGCTGCTACATAAAACGAAGTAGATTGGGCTCCATCATATTTCTACATTAATGTCACTTCACTTAATCCAATCTCTTTATTATACTCAATCATTAGGCATAGTTTTCAAATTTGCAGCTAATTATTAATAGGGAGAATTTTCTGGTGATTATTTTTCCCCCTAACAAAACAGAAAAAAGGGACTAGTCTGTTTTTTTGAGAACAGGCTTTTTCTTAGTAATAAAAAGGATCATATGACAACAGTTTTGCAGTGTATCATGCAAGCTCTGCTGGAGTCAATCCAATTTCTATACAAGTGCTGCCATTTGGACAACAAAGCAGCCTTATTGAAACGGGCAGGCTTCATCTTAATTCTGGCACTACTGAATGGAGAGTACACACTAGCTGAGGAACAATGAAGCAAGAAAAGAGTTACAAATCTCTCGTGACAACTGCACGCCAAGGAAGAGAAGATGCATTATGATAGTGTTGTTTGCTCTGCTCCTTCCCAAGATCACTTTGAAACAAAGATGGCTTTTTTGCGCCCCAAACCGAAAGCTCTTTCCAGATTTTGCACGTGTATCTTCCAATCCCCACCACGCATCCAGTGAGACCCTCCATTTACAACTCCACTCCTTGGACAAAGGTGAGAAAACAGAGGCTCCCACCTTCCCACTCCCTTCCCTCTCCTCCCATCCAAACCCGTCATCCCTGTTATTTAGAGCCTCCCCTGCTATTTTCATGTTTAAGGCACGTACAATTGGACTATTGTGTTGTTCTGGGGGAAAAAAAATGTTTGCCCTTTATTTGATTTACATGACTTCTCAGCAAAACTCAACTTCTGAATTCCTGAGATTTCCTGAAGTTTAAAGCTTTGTGCAAGAATGTCTGCCTTGACCTCAGCTCCTGCAAG